AATCCTTCCAAAACCTTAGGTTTCGTAGCGATTTTAACATAAAAACATCAAAAACCCAATGGTTTTTTAAGAAAAAATTGTCAAAATGTCCTTCCGCGCGCTCTTGCGGATTCATAGGAAACACACCACTTTTTAAACATTTCTGTCAAAAGGGTCTTTGCGTGCTACTTCTTCAGGTGCTTTGAACTTCTCCAACAACGGTTGCGCGCCTGCGAGGGCCACCATCCCTTGCAAAAAATGAGACGAAGTGCACATGCGCGCGGCCGCCGCGCGCGCATGTCGAAATCCTGCCAAACACAATGGGTTTTCAATAATTTCAAGATGCGATGTTCAGAAAACATATGAAAACGCACTACTTTCTCATCCGAAAAATCTCGAAATCCATTCGCGGTCTCTTGATGAATCTTTAAAACCCAAGATGGCCCCAACAGGCGCGCAAGATGGCCCCAAGAGGCGTCCATGAGGCCCAAAGAGGCGCCCAAGATGGTCCCAAGAGGCTTCAAGAGGACTCCAAGAGGCCCCCAAGAGGTTCCAGAGAGGCTCCAAGGTGGCTCCAAGAGACCCCCAAGATGGCCCCAGGAGGCGTTCTAGAGGCCCCAAGAGTCCGCCGTGAGGGTCCAATAAGCCCCCAAGAGGCCCCAAGATGGTTCCAAGGAGCCCCCCAAAGGCTCTCAAGTGGACCCCAAACCGCGCCAGGAGGCTTCCCCCCTTCCCCAAGAGGACCCCAAGCGGCCCCAGGAAGGCCCCCGACTGCTGACGCACATATCCGTAGCCATCTCGGATCAAGGTATCGCCTGTGTTCTTGGATCATGGCTTTGACGGCGAAAGACCTTCACGAGCAGTATGGCCCTGAGCTGTCGCGGCCTCCCTTGGCCGACTGCGAGAGTGCGTATTATTTGCATCAGGCGCTCCGGGCAAAGGGTATCAATGCTAGTCACCAGGCGTGCAAGACTTGGTGGGCCAAGTATCGGGTTGTGACTGGCACGGTCAGTATTTCTAGCGCCAAGGAGCTGGAGGAGCAGCACGGCTCTGCCATCCGCCACCTGGGCATTGAGTATAATACCGCTTTCAAATTATGCCGGGCGCTCCGACAGTTGGATCCACCACTGTATGTGCCAGATAGGGTCGCAACGGCGTGGCTACTGCAGTATTCATCCAAAGACACGCTTGTCCAAGTGCAGAACGCTGGCCACTTGGAGACCTGGTGTGGAGAACATATTCGCAAAGATGTGTTTCTCTCCCTCCGTCTGGCTGTGCACGCGCGCGTTGGGCACTGAGAGTTAGGATCATAGCGCCATGAGTCTATGAGCAATGCATGCGTCATCCTTGGGACTGTATAACATCAGTGTAACACATGTACTTCTGTAATCGCATCCCCACGAATTTGCCCCAAAAATGTGACCAACTATCTTGGCACTGCGTACCATCTCACGTGTACCGTGTACCACATCATATGTAACAGATGTGATCAACCTCTGTGGGTGTGTACCCCACGCCAGTGTAGTAGCCAGGGTCGTCCGCACGCCACGAAGTGAAGTGTCCCAACGTCATAGGGCGGGAAGCTGGGTGTGGGTGGTCTCGAAGAGTCGTTTGGATATTTGGTAGAGCTTGAACGGCCCCCCCACGAAGTGGGGGTATTGGCTGGTGTCGCAAGAAAACCCTGGCACTGGGGAGAACACTGAGCGTTCGGGTAAAATGATTGTTGTTGTTGTTGTTGTTGTTGTTGGAAAAGGCGTGCGTGGGAGCCCCGGCCGCCCCCCCCCCCCCAGCAACCGAGCAACCGAGCAACCCTCTCTGGGGGTCTCCCGGGGGCGCCAATTTCGTAGGAAGTCTATAGGCTTTCATCGGAATTCTATAGACCTCCCTAGGAATTCTATAGGCCCCATCGGAATTCTATAGGCGTCCATCGGAATTCTGCAGGCCCCCATGGGAATTCTATAGGCCCCCATAGGAATTCGATGGGCCTCCATAGGAATTCTATAGGTCTCCATCGGAATTCGATATAAACCCCCATAGGAATTTGATCGGCCTCCATAGGAATTTTATCGACCTCCGTAGGAATTCTATAGGCCTCCGTAGGAATTCTATAACCCCCCATAGGAATTCTATAGGCCTCCATCGGAATTCTATAGGTCTCCATCGGAATTCTATAGGCCTCCATAGGAATTCTATAGGCATCCCCAGGAATTCGATATAGGTCCCCATAGGAATTCGATTGGCCTCCATACGAATTCCGTAGGCCTCCATAGGAGTTCTATAGGCATCCATAGGAATTCTATAGGCACCCATACACATTCTATAGGCGTCCATAGGAATTCTATAGGCCAGCATCGGAATTCTATAGGCCGCCATGGGAATTCTATCTGGGCCTCCAGGAGGATGAGCAGGAGGAGGAGGAGGAGGAGGAGGAGGAGGAGGAGGAGAACGAGGAGCAGGAGGAGGAGAAACGATGACGGAGGAGGAGGAGGAGGAGGAGGAGGAGGAGGAGGAGGAGGAGTAGGAGGAGGAGGAGGAGGAGGTAGGAGGAGAACGAAAACGGAGGAGGAGGAGGAGGCGGAGAAGGAGGAGCGGAGGAGAGGAGGGGGAGGAGGGAGGAGGAGGAGGAGGAGGAGGAGAGGAAGGAGGGGAGGAGGAGGAGGAGGAGGAGGAGAGGAGGAGGAGGAGGAGGAGGAGGAGGAGGAGGAGGGGGAGGAGGAGGAGGAGGATGAGGATGAAAAGCAGGAGGAGAGGAGGAGGAGGAGGAGGAGGAGGAGGAGGAGGAGGAAAAGGAGGAGGAGGAGGAGCAGGAGGAGGAGGAGGAGGAGGAAATACGAGGATGAGGGAGGAGGAGGATGAGGAGGAGAGGAGGAGCAGCAGCAGCAGGAGGAGGAGGAGAAACGAGGAGGAGGAGGAGGGGAGGAGGAAGAGGAGGAGGAGGAGGAGGAGGAGGAGGAGGAGGAGGAGGAGGAGGAGGAGGGGAGAGGGGGGGGGGAGGGGTAGGAAAAGGGGAAAAGGGGGAGGGTGGAGGAGGGGGGGGGGAGGGAAGGAAGGGGGCAGGAGGACGAATAGGGGGGGGGCGCAAGAAAGGGGGAGGGATGGCGGAGGAGGAACCAGGACAGCACGGAAGGCTAGGACGAGGAATGGCAGAGCCAGTAGCACGGTGAAGAAGAGGGGGAACACAGGTCCCACGGGTCCCACAGGTCCCACAGGGGTCTGTATCGGATCTCTACAGGATCCCATACAGTCTGTATCGGATCTCAACAGGATCCCATACAGTCTGTATCGGATCTCTACAGGATCCCATACAGTCTAGATCGGATCTATATAGGACCATATACAGACTGTATCCGATCTCTACAGGATCTCATACAATCTGTGTCGGATCCGTACAGGATCCTACACAGTCTGTATCGGATCTCTACAGGGTCCCATACAGTCTGTATCGGATCTGTAGGATCCTGTACAGTCTGTATCGGATCTCTACAGGATCCCATACAGTCTGTATCGGATCTGTATAGGATCCTATCCAGTCTGTATCGGATCTCTACAGGATCCCATGCAGTCTGTATCGGATCTGTATTGAAGCGGCGGCACGCCGGCACGCATACGTTTTTCACCCATAGGACCACGTCAAGGTCCGTAAGGGAGTCCAAGGGAGTTCCAGTTTTTTTCTTTTTGGTTGCTGGTTGCTGTTGCTGTTGCTGGGGGGGGGGTTCAGAATGCGTCCACGGGGCTCTGAGCGCAGCCTTCGCAATAAGGCGAGGGCGGGTCCGGACAGCTAGAGCTCACGGGGCTCCCACGCACGCCTTTTCCTTGTTGTTGTTGCTGCTGCTGCTGCTGCTGTTGTTGTTGTTGTTGTTGAACCTTATTACTTCTAAAGAATAATTATTGTTGGGGCCCCTGGTGCACGACCCCCCCGCCGCGCCTAGGCCGCAGCCACATTTTCATCATTTTCGCGAGGAAGTCTCAGGCAAAACGGGTTGGTCCGGATCCGGTTGTTTTGTTACGACCCGCTTTCCCTTGCAAAAAATAAGCTAAAGTGGACATTTCTTGTTCTAACATAACCAAACTTCAAGAATCCCTTGCAAAAAATAAGGTAAAGTGGACATTCGCGCGCGCAAGACGAAATCCTTCCAAAACCTTAGTTTTCGTAGCGATTTTAACATAAAAACATAAAAACAAAAAAACATTTTATTATATATATATATATATATATATATAATATAACTTGTCAAATTTCATCCCGCGCGCTCTTGCGGATTCGTAGGAAACCCAACACTTTTTAAACATTTCTGTCAAACGGGCTTTTGCGAGCAACTTTTTCGAACTTCTGCAACAACGGTTGCGCACCTGCCAGGGCCATCATCCCTGTCAAATAATACCATGCGGGACACATTCGTTTTTTCTTCGCGCGCGCACGCCGTCGTCGTCGGCCGCGGGGCCCTGAATAGTAGCCACGGTCGTCCGCATGCCACGAAGTGAAGTGTCCGAACGTCATAGGGCGGGAAGCTGGGTGTGGGTGGTGGCGAAGAGTCGTTTGGAAATTTGGTAGAGCTTGAACCGGCCCCCCCACAAAGTGGGGGTATTGCCCGCCTCCTATGAAAACCCTGGCACTGGTGAGAACGGAGTGTCCCCACGTGCTAGTAATTGTTGTTGTTGTTGTTGTTGTTGTTGTTGTTGTTGTTGTTGTTGTTGTCCCCATCCGCTAGATTCGTCCAAGACCGTTCAAAACCGGTCCGGCCCGAAGCGAGCTCCCAGTGACCGATTTGTCGGCCTCGGGCGGGAGTTTCCTTGGATCTTCCCTTCTCTCTCCTCCCTCCTTCTCCTCCCTCCTTCTCCTCCCCCTCCCTCCGCCTCCTCTCCCTCCCTCCCCTCCTTCGTCCTCCCTCGCCTCCGCTTTCCTTCTCCTCTCCCCTCCTCTCCTCCCTCCTCCCCTCCTCATCTCCTCCGCTTTTCCCTCCTCCCCCTCCCCCTCCTCCCATGGGCCCCTCGCGGCGACCCAGCCCACCGCGGCCGTGGAGGCGGGCGACCGACGAGCTCCTGGAGCTCTACACGCGGGCGAGGCGAATAAGTCTCACGCTGTACAACGAGTACGAGCACCCCAGCCTGCCCGGCCTCGCGGACGAGGACCCAGACCCCCTCGAGTCATTAGAAAAACCACGACGGAAGGTTTTCCGATATGTTCGGCCTCTGGAGGCACTCGTTGGGCCTCGGGACCGACAAAAAAGGACCCAGGATGAAAAACTGGTCCCGGGGAGTGGGCCGAGACCTCTACGGGTCGACGTCATGAAACGATCATGACGTACGATCATGACGTCGGGGGCCTGGGGACCTCGAGAGGGGAAAGACTGATGAGATCTTGGGATGTTTGAGTCCAGGCCTCCCACATGCGGTCGGAGCGGATGGTGTCGGAGGATTGCGCCGCATCGCCGATGCGGATCGACGTGGAGCCCGATTTTCTGCACGCCGGCGTCGCTGATGCACCGCCGACGTCGCCGATGCATCGCCGATACCACGTCGAATCATCGGCGTGGCGGCGCGATCGTCCAACCCCATCTACTCGGACCCGATCGGGGAGGTCTCTATTGATGGCATCCGAGGATTAGAGGACCGATGGTATGATATATGATGAGACGATCTGATGGTATTTGATCAGGTCCGAGGATTCGAGCACCCGGGTCCGCCCGGCCTCGTCGATCAAGACCTTGGGAGGGGGAGGGCGTTTTTGGGGAAGCGTTCGTCGGCCCTCGGATGTTTTCTTGCCCCACGATGCTTTCCAGCAGCGGCGCCTCGTCGGAAGCTCTCCGTGGGTGTCCGAGTCGTCTCGAGCGGCCAGTATCGGCCGAGGCATAACCCGAAAAACACCAGGCGTAGAAAAGGGGGTGAGGACTACAGTCGACACTGATAACCGAGGTAGGTCTTTAGCTCCCCCGCGCCTGTTTCTCTCGGCGGGGCATGAACTCCGCCCCTCCTCCTCTCCCTCTCCTCCTCTTCCCTCTCCTCCTCCTGCTGCTCCTCCTCCTCCTGCTCCTCCTCGTCTCATTCCTACGGGTGCCGCGGAAACATGATTATTTCCCACAATTGGTGGGACTCTATTCCGTCAATAAGGGCGTCGAAAGGATATTTAGTTTCCACTATTGGGTGGTGTGGTTCTAAAGACCTACCTCGGTTTGTTAGTATAACCGACTTCCCAATGGTACTCTTGCATCTTTGCCTCTTCGGCCATCTTCGGTCCATCCTCAACCACATTCGATGGCTAGCCCCGCTCGAAAAGCTTCGGCATGGCAGTCGACACTGATAGTAAGGATGACCGACTTCCTGAGGGTACCACTGCATCCTTGCCTCCTCGGTCATCTTCGGTCCAGCCTCAACCACTTTCGATGGCCCGCCCCGCTCGGAACGCCTCGGAATGGGCGTCCAGGGCCTTTCCATCCTCACCGCGCATCCTTGCTATCGGTTTTGACTGTATGGGGTGTACGATAGGTTCGCGCGGCGATGGCGCGCCAGAGACGCCTTCAAGTTTGAGTCCCGCACGATAGAGCGACGCGGAAGCACCGAGGGACACAGTAGTAACGCCACAGGACCCGACGGAACCCATTCTGGAGCCATCGAGGCCGCGCGATCGCTTTAAGATGGAACGGCCGGCGCGGTGTCGAAAACTTTTGCGCGTACCGACGCCGCGCGAACCTGCCGTGTGGACATCATGACCCTTGGCAATGAGATCTCCCAGATTGCGAAGGCCTTACGGCTGGTGCCGCCGACCCTGAAGGGAGACGACGACGACGACGACGACGACGACGACGACGACGACGACGACGACGACGACGACGACGACGACAACGGCGGTGGCGGCAACGACGACGACGCTGACGTGGGCCAGAGTCCTCAGGGATGGTTCTCGGGGTCTCTTCGAAAGTCTCTCGAGGGCCTCTGAGGATGAATTTTGCGGCCATGAGATCTCCCAGAGTTCATGGCACCCTCTCTTTTCTGTTCAGCGTGCATCCTGGACCCCCTTCGTCCGCGCACGTGCCTCAGGCCATGCTGCGCTGGCGCCTCTCTCCCTGGCTCCCCCTCGCCGGCGTACCCCAGAAGACACGAGGTTTAAGTCGGGCATGTCTCTGTGCAGGAGGAGTACTCAAGACTGGTTAAATGTGTGATCAGGGGGCGATTATTCTAATATCTTTGAATCTGTTTGTGAATATTTTTCTTTTACTTTCGAAAATCCGCCTGTGGGAGGACATGCCCGACCTAATACGAGGTTCGATGGTCGAGGTCTTTGAGATGAGATTCGATCATACTCGTGGATTCGGGCATTCATCTCCCCAGCCCGCCCAGCCTCGCCGACCAGGACTTCGAAAGGAGCAGGGCCAGGGAAATTCGAGGGCGTTCGAGGAGATTCGTGGACGTTCGAGATCTTTGAGAGCAGGTTTGAGAAGACTCGAGGATGTCCGAGGATTCGAGCCCCCTGGCCTGCCCGGCCTCGTCGACGAGGGCCTCGGGAGGAGAGAGGCAGACGGCACATCGATGCGGTAGACTCGTGCCGTGTCGACGCGGCGCCGGCCCCGGCGCTGGCATTCAAGCTTGGGCGCCGGCAGTGGCCCGAAATCGGCACGATATCAGAGCCCCTAATCATCAGGATAACTCGGGTCAGGGATAACTCGGGTTCCTTTTTCGGGAGTCCGAACCCGACTTACCCCGGACCCGAGTTACCCCGGATAACTCGGGCGTCCAGAGCCCCAGAATCACCAGGGGCAACTCGGGTCAGGGGTAACTCGGGTTCCTTTTTCGGGAATCCAAGCCCGAGTTACCCCGGACCCGAGTTACCCCGGATAACTCGGGCGCCCAACGATATCAGCCACGCGCAGAGGGGGGTGAGGGGGGAGAGCTTCTCAGAAGAACCCCCGCTTCTTCGAAGGCGCGGGCCTTATCTGTACATGTGAGGCCGGCGCCTTCTAAGAAGCGGCCTCCTTCTAAGGAACCCTCCCCCCTCCCTACCCCTTGTGCGCGCTGCCGACGACAGGCCCTATCGGGAAGGCGCTATCGCTCGAGGTCGAACAATCCTTCGCTATCGCAGAAGCCACCCCTGGCCTGCCTGGCCTCGTCGGCCCTCGTCGACCAGGACCCCAAGGGGAGAATCTCTGAAGGCGTTCGAGGGTCGAGCCGTTTCGCGTTTTGTTCGGCGTCAGGGGTCCTCCTCCTCCTCCTCCTCCTCCTCCTCCTCCTCCTCCTGACCGAGCAGTTGCGCGTCTTGTCCGCCGCCAGGGGGCCGCGATCGGGCCCTGGGGGCCTCGTCAGAGCTCGACCCGTGACGAGGGCCGGCCAGGACGCACCCCGGGGAGGGGCCCAGCTCGAGTCTGGTCGGACTGTGGTCGCGAGGGTCCGAGAGGGTCAGAGGAGGACGCGCCCAGGTCGGGCCAGCCACAGCTGGGGGAGCTGTGGTCCTCACCCCCCTGGGGGACCCATCGATTTCGACGCCCCTCTCGAGAGATCGTCGATGCGGCGGGATCCCCCAGGGGGGTAAGGACCACAGCTCCTCCAATCATGGCTGTTCGGCATGTGGATACCGATCGGCCACGCGCAGAAGTGGGGTATGGGGGAGGGGGGAAGGCTTCGTAGAAGCACCCCCGCTTCTCCGAAGGCGCGGGCCTTGTCTGTAGATGCAAGGCCGGCGCCTTCTAAGAAGCGGCCTCCTTCTAAGAAGCCCTCCCCCCTCTTCCCTACCCCCCTTGTGCGCGCCGTCAGAGGAGGACGTGCCCATGTTGATACCGGTGCTCGGAGTCTGCTGGACGAGCGTTGGAGTGGGATCGCGTGCGGCGGGAGCAGGGAGCGTGCTGTCTTTCGCGGGGCGTTGGGGGGATGGATTTAAGTCGGGCATGTCCCACTACAGGAGGAATATTCAAGACTAGTACGAACATCGTTTTGTGACGTTTTTTTGTTGTGTGTGTGTGTTTTTAATTGGGATTAAGTTTGGGTATTTTTTGGGAAAACGCTGCCAGGGGCATCATTTGGGAGCCCCAAGGGGGAGCCACCCTGGCTGATCTCACGAGCCCGTTCGCGCCGATTTTG